TGATAAGACAAAGCTGAGTATATTCTTACAACAGTTAGGAGAATACTCTCTTGGTAGAGTCTTAGTAGCATCACAGGGCAAAACTGGAATGTTAATGAGATTTTGGAGTCTGGCCTAAGATGAACTTTCAAAGGGGAGAGGCTTAATTAGGATGGGATAAGGATCATGATATAACAGTTTGGGACTGGTAAGACAATCAAGGGTTTTAAGCCAGGATTTCAAAAAGTCTTAGAGAGTAGACTTGCTATTTATTGAAATTTCCAACTTTGATGTTTATCTAATGGCTTTTGTTTGTTCATTTTGTTTTGTTTTGTTTTTTGGTGGGGTCTGGGGAGGAAATTCCTGAAATGAACAGTGAAACAGTCTGCAACTTTTATTTTTCTAGGTGAGAGTTCCCTGGAAGAGTAATGCTACAGTGGAATAGTAAAATTGTGTTAGTGAAGACGTCCAGATAGTAGAGTCAGGCTTATGTGGATAATAAGCTGTATAGGGGTAGATGGATTCAGTTCTGTATGGATTCAGGAGTGTGCCCTGGTTGACTTAAATGAATTAACATAGTCAATCCCCTTGGTCATAGTGATCGATTCAACAATAGACACACACACACAAAAAAACAAATCAGGACAACTGGAACCAGTGGAGACTTATCACTGTGCTATATGAAAAACAGAGTTTATATTATCTACTAAGTTTGAACCCTGGAGTCTGTAGGTTCACGAGTTACTGGCAGCAACCTTACAATTATAGTGAAAAAGGCTTTGAAGAGAATTAATGCTAAGGAAGGAAGTCTGAGAAAGAAGAGAGAGAAGACAGATTCCAATCTAATTAATTGATCCAATGAATCAAACCTTGAAGCCAACCCTACTGGGGCTGTATGCAATTATGTAAGAAACGTATTTCCTTTATAAACTAAGCCATTTGAAGATGGATCTTCTATTATTTACAATGCAAAGCATTCTGATAGATACTGTGTACACTCAAGAATTTCTTTTCATGTTTCCTACATGTGTAACCTTGGAAAAATTATTTCATTTCTCCAAACCTTGTTTTCTACATTGGCGAATAATAGACTTCATCAATGAATAGGGTTATGAGAACTAAGGCAATATATGCAAAGAGCCCAATGCCTGGCACATAATTGTTACTCAGTAAATAGTGACTCTAGCCATGGCAACTCCAGCTAGGACTCTGCAACTAACCACCTAGTGCTCCAGGAAAGACACTAAACCTCTCTGGGCTCTGATTACTTATCTGGGATGTTTCAGGATTGGTAGCTGATCTTTGAATCCCCCAACAAATTCCCAGATTTCATTATTTTGTGTATTATCTTTCTACAAACTAGAATGAATTAAACTGGAAATCCCCCTCCAGGTCCTGCCACATGATTCAACAAGCCAGTCTTTGAGGGATGATATATTGGCATTTGATACCAGCCTGTGTTCTTGGTTGTGATAACAAACACGGCACTGAGATTAACTAATACTTGGTCACCACTGAGCAGATTCTAAGTAGCAGGTCTGATTTGGGAAGCTGGCAGGATAAATATTAGCCTTTATCACAGCTCAAACAACCCCAAGTGCCAAACCAAAAAGTTCTCAGGGAGGAATTGTGTTCCCTCTTCCATTTTAGAGAACCAGAAATCACAATGTAATTTGTCACAGTGCCCAGTAGATAACTCTTTTTTAGCCAGTAAATAAAGGTGGGCACCACCTTAAGTGTTTAAAGGTATTGTATGCCTACACTCACTCTTTCCTAGTAAAGAGGAGCAGGGTTTTAACAGGAGATACTGCCAAAAAATTGGAGGTGGGTTTTGACTCTGGCCAACTGAGAACTCTAGTCACAGGAAGAATCTGGTCAGCTTGAAGAGTCAGAAGAGTCATTAAAAAATACTGCAAAAAGTCACATCCAGGAAAATTAAGTTTCTAACTTCATGCTCATGGTAGAATTTCTTTCTAGATTCCAAAAGCCATGTCAACACAAGCAATAGGAGTTGAAAGGCTGAAGCAACCAACTGGGTAATTCAAATCATAAACATTTTTCTATACAAATTACCTAGACAGTCCTCTTAAATTTAATTAATCTCATATTTGTACAGTGATTTATAGTTTTCAAAGGACTTTTACTTATCTCTCAATAATCTCATTTTATAGGAAAGTAAAGATCAGAGAGATGAAGGGATAACTCTCTGTCCAAAGGCAAACAACCATGCAATCGTGGCTGGGGCTCGATGGGTGGTAATGTGGCAGAAATGAGAGAGCATTTACCATTCTCTGTAAGAATCAGAGCTGGGCTTAGCACCAAACTGTCTGACTCCTTGTCCATATAATGCCATGACTCATCTCATCTCTCTTTTCTAGAGATGTCATGTCCTTGATGAAATTATGGGCCATCAAGGCTTATCAGCAACACTCACAAGTTGACTTCAGGGAGAAGATTAATGAAGGAACTTTGTCACAGAAGGGAACTACTGTTTATTGAGCACTTTGTTTTTTTTTTTTTTTTTTTTTTTTGGCCGGCCAGTGCAGGGATTGGACCTTGGACCTCGGTGTTATCAGAAACACACTCTAACTGACTAAGCTAACTGGCCAGCCCTACTGAGCACTTTTTATGTGCTGGGCTTGCTGCTAAGCACTTTAAGTATACTGACTAGTTCATTTCATCCTGTCCTTAGTTTTGTGAGGAGGGAATCATTAGTTCCTTTCAGCCATCACAGGCTCTGAGGATTCAATGACTTCGTATCTCCCGCACAATGGTAAGGATGTCATTTCTTTCCAGCTTCCACTTACAGCCTTCTTCCTTCCCAACAGGAGATGGGTTAATCATGAAGTTGCTTGCTGAGTCCCCCTTGCATGCAACTTCTGTTATGTTCAGCTGCGTCCTGAGAAGCACGGGTGCTAAGTCCACTGGTACACCAGCTTTGAAGGAAGGAGTGCCTTTGCCAGTCCAAGTGGTTAAGAGGTGGGTCCTGCCCTCAAGGATTTAAAAGATTAGAACCAAGACATGTCAAACTCTCTGATGTGATTAATCAAAGCTTCAGTGGTAGATTCCAACTCATGGACATCATTTCCAGCTCCAGAAGCAAAGAGCTTATGTTTGGTTCCTGGCTATGTCTTTAAGAATTTTCACGTGTTTCAGCATCCCCCGAATCTCTTTGTCACTAAATCCCCTCTTATCCCTTCCTTTACTCCTCTATCATACTTCTTGCTAATATTGTCTCTGTTTTTCTATTTCCCATTAGCTGTTCAGCCCATGCAACCTAGCTTCAGACCTAACCACTCTATCAACCTAGCCCTCTCCAAGTTCACCAGTGAACCTCCTAATTGGCTCAATCAGTCTTCCCTTTTCATAGTTATCTCCTGGCTCTTTCTGCAACGTAAAGATACTGCTGATCAACCTTCTTGCATTCCTTACCTCCATTAGCTTCCATCATATGAGACCTCTCTGGAATCCCCTCTTGGTTCTCCCTACTTTCTAGCTTGTTTTTCAATCTCTTCTTTCTGTGGTGACCTCTTAAATGCTGAAGTTTCTTAGGTTATGAGTTGTGTCTGCTCAGTCTCACTTCTTGCTTCTTCTTAGTCTCACGGAGCTGTCCCATGCCTTCTATAAGCTTCACTTCGATAAGGTCCTGTACATGTTTATCTCCCTCCCAAATCTCTCTCGTGAGCTCCAGATACCCTACAAAGTGCCTCAAATTTCATGTCTCATATTATACTCCTTATCATTGCCCAAGACCTGTCCCTCCTCCTAGGATCTTGCTTGACATTAACACAATCCACCCACCCAACTTTTCCAAACCAGATCTTTTTTTTTTTTTTTTTTTTTTTTTTTTTTTTTTTTTTGTCTTTTTTCGTGACCGGCAATGGATCGCAACCCTCAGTGTCACGCCCATACTGGACCGGGACCGGCAACGGGATCGCAACCCTCGGTGCTGCGCCCACACCTCGCTCAGCCAGTGAGCGGCCGGTCTGTATGTGGGATCCGAACCCTCGGCGGGAGTACCGCCGTACTCCCAAGCGGCGCACTATAGCAGTGCGCCACCGGGCCGGCCCCCCAAACCAGATCTTTGAGGGTCATACTTGATATCCCTTTTCTTCCTCTGTGCCATTTGCACTGCCACATCCAATCAATGACCAAGTTCTACATATTTTTCCTCTTAAGTGTGTCTAGACTCTCTCCCTCTCCACATCACATTGTCTCTACCATGGTTCAAGCCCTCATTATCTTTGCCTCAATCAACACAACAACCTTCTAAATGAAACTGAAGTTTCTATCCTCTACCTACCTAAATGCCATCATCCACACAACATCTAGAGTGATACAAGCATCTAGATTTTTTTGGCACACAGGTATTTTTCTAAGTAGCAGGAAAACGGTAGTGCAGAAACAAACACACACACACACACACACAAGTATGCACACAGAGAGAATATGTTTCAGCTCTCATTGATCTATGTTCTATGGATCTATTTAGAGTAAAATATGACCGTGCAGTACCCATCACTGGCTCCCGTCAACTTCGAACATGATTCAAACCTTCCTTCTAGGCTCACTTTTCTTCCACATCCTCCATCTCCTCTGTCAATGCTCTCACTTGATGCTTCAACTCCAGCTGATTTAACTGCACATAGTTTCCTGAACAAATGATGATATTTTGTAACACCATGTCTTCCCTCATGTTGCCTCAAAACCCTTCCCTACTTCATCACCTCTTTCCAACTACCCTTTAAATTTCAGTTCAGGTATCATTTCTGAGAAGCTGTGGCAATAAGGATGCTACATGGTTACCAAATCTATTTCATTTTCATCTTCCTGGATACATAGGAAGACTACAATTCCCAGCATCCTTTGGAATTAAATTGAGCCAGTGTGATCAGCTCTGGCCAGTCGGTAGTAAGTAGAAAATACTTGGGTCTCTTCCTCTTTTTTTTTTTTTTTTTTTTCCCCAAACAGTTATTTTTATTGTAGCATCTACAGTGTCTGAAAAAAGATGTAATAATAAATAACTGTAGATGCATCACAGGACACCCATTTATTTAATCACAGTAGTGGATCTTACTACTACATTCTATTCTACATTTCTTCTTTATTCTTCAGATTCTCCAGGCTTACGGATGTCATCAATTTTCAAAATCATTCTAACCATCTGTGTCGCAAGTGATATCTGTTGCTTTTTGCCAATCAAGGTTTCTATGACATGTTGTTGCTTAATATCATTTGTACCCTTGTGCAAACAGTCGATTCCAAGAGCAGGGTTCATCTCCTTCACTTGTCTGGCTCGGACTTCAGTCATAGTCTGGATGGGATTCATGCCACTGTTTTCAGGAAGGGCCATGGAGATGACCTCCAATGCATGGGCAAAAGCTCTCATGGCATACTGCTCCAAGGTTGGGCACTTATCTGCCTCTTGGCTAACTGCCAAAGCACAAGATATTTCAGCAGCCCCTCCTCCATACACCACGCGATTATCACGGATGAGGTTCCGGATGACACACAAAGCATCATGAAGGGATCGTTTTGCTTCCTCGATTATCATCTTATTTCCTCCTCTAATGAAAATGGTTACGGCTCTGGAGTTCTTACACTGCTCGATGACCAGCATTTTGTCTTTAGTTGTCCCAAATGAGATCTCCTGTACCAGCCCAGCAAAGTCTAGCTTCTCAGCTGTGAGTTCGGAGAACCGTGGGACAATCCGCCCTCCTGTCGCAATGGCAATCAGCTCAATTTCAGGTCCTCCTACCCAACGAACCGCAGGCAAGTTATTCTGAAGAAGTAGATGACTTGCTTCATCATCAAAGCCCCACTGGCAGATAGCTAGGTTAGCACCAGTTTCTTTAATTTGTTGAATCATCTCTTTGAACTTCTCCTTTTCATATTTCTGAAGGACTTTATAATCTTCCACAGAGGTCACATCCAGCTTATGCTTCGTCTTTGGTTTGGGTGGCTCAAATGGACATGTGAGAATTGCAATCTTAGCATCTTCCACTTTTTTTGGCATCTGTGGATGACTGAAATCCTTGCCCACAATCACGATCTTGATCAGTTTTGTGTCCTCCAGTCTCCCGCCCACTTTGCCTTCTACTTTGATGAGCTCGAAGTCCACATCTCTCCGCCCCATGTCTGCTACCATGAGGACAGCATTCACAGCAATCTCAGCCATTTGTCGGTGACAGCTGTTAACCACTTTGGAGGCCCACTTTGCCTTCTACTTTGATGAGCTCGAAGTCCACATCTCTCCGCCCCATGTCTGCTACCGTGAGGACAGCATTCACAGCAATCTCAGCCATTTGTCGGTGACAGCTGTTAACCACTTTGGAGCCCAGTGTAGTTTTTGCAGTCTGAATCAGGGGTTCCGTGTCCTTGATGTCAACAAGGACACTATCACGGATTCTGTCCAGGTGTTCGAGAGCAATGCGGGCAGCCTGCTCATAGCCATCGGCTATTCTGATGGGGTGAATGCCTCGGTCCAGCAACTGCTCAGCTTCTTCTAACAAGGCACCAGCCAGGACAACCACTCCTGTGGTGCCATCTCCAATTTCATCATCCTGTGATTTGGACAGTTCAACCATCAGCTTGGCAATCTGATGATCGACATCCATCATGCTTAAAATGGTAGCACCATCATTAGTTACAGTCACATCACCATCCTTATCCACCATCACCTTATCAAGTCCATTTGGTCCAAGTGATGTTCTCATTGTATGCGCTACAGTTTTCGCTGCCATTATATGAGACTTGAGGGCCTCAAGTCCCATAAGGCAGGACTTGCGGTCCTGATCCTTGATGATGAGGAAAGGGTGTCCATATTCATCAAAGGCGAGGGTCCCCACGGATGCCATGCTGCAGCAGCAGGTGTTACTTTCCCTCAGGCAGCGGCAACCACTCCGGAACCCGGGTCTCTTCCTCTTGACATAGAATGAAAGCACTGAATATGGATATGTGTTCTCTGTGCTTTTACTTTCCTCAATGCAGTAACCTGGAAGCCATATGTTGAAATGACAGCATCACAAGGTAGAAGCAACCTGGGTCACTGAGTCACAGCAAGGAAGAGAGCTGTCCTAGAGAGTCATCCAGACTCACAGCACTCTTCTCCATACCCAAGAAATAAACCTTTGTTGTGTTGTTACAGAGACTGGAGGTAATTTAGTATTGCAGCAGAGCAGAGCCTATCCTAATCAATACAGAGGCTGTGATAGCAAATAACACGACCCCCCTCCAAAAAAAGATGCCTATGTCCTAGTCCTCAGAATCTATAAATAAGTTATGTTACATGGAAAAGAGAAATTAAGGGGGCTGGCCTGAGCACAAGATATTTCAGCAGCCCCTCCTCCATACACCACACGATTATCACGGATGAGGTTCCGGATGACACACAAAGCATCATGAAGGGATCGTTTTGCTTCCTCGATTATCATCTTATTTCCTCCTCTAATGAAAATGGTTACGGCTCTGGAGTTCTTACACTGCTCGATGACCAGCATTTTGTCTTTAGTTGTCCCAAATGAGATCTCCTGTACCAGCCCAGCAAAGTCTAGCTTCTCAGCTGTGAGTTCGGAGAACCGTGGGACAATCCGCCCTCCTGTTGCAATGGCAATCAGCTAATTGGGGTCGATAAGGGAGAGGGATGAAGACATTACTGGTGAATATTTAACTTTCAAAACTAGACCACAAATGAGCTAAACCTGATGTAGAACCATCTTCATCTTTTTCACCACAATTGCTGTCCCAGTGGCCAAAAAATTTCAAGTTTAACCCAAAGTACCCTGTTAAATGAACAAGGTTCTGAAGAACTGGGTGTCTTGGTCTGGCTTTGGTGCTGCCCGGCTCTACCACCCTGTGCAAATCCCCTAAGCTCCAGACCTCCCCACTCCTCTGTGTAGCCCTGCCTCTCTCTGTGAAACCAGCTCGAGTGTATGCCCAGGGTCCGGACCAGTGCCTAGGATGGCTTTTAGTACCTGGCTGACCTATGAGGAGATGAGACTGGGTCTTCCTGCCTCAGAAAGTCCATGACAGGGCCCAGTGAGATGACACGTGGAAAGCATTTCAAAATGCCACGAACACCAAAAAGACATAGTTGTCATTCAAACAGTAAGAGATTCTAGCACTTCTCTCCCAGCTCATGCTCCTCTAACCTGTGGAGCCTTGCCACGATGTGGGTATTTAAGGCAAGTGCTATCAAAGCAGCGGTAAATACACACATGCATTGTAAGCTGAGCCCTTTCCTCTAGAAGTCTCCTCACATGGAACTTCCTACCTCAATTTCGGGTCCTCCTACCCAGCGAACCGCAGGCAAGTTATTCTGAAGAAGTAGATGATTTGCTTCATCATCAAAGCCCCACTGGCAGATAGCTAGGTTAGCACCAGTTTCTTTAATCTGGGAAAAGAAATGCCACAATTATGTTAACAGAGAGCAGGCATTTATAGTTTGTAATAATGTGTGAAAAACGGAAGATGCTCAGCTGGGTGGGTGAGGTGGGTGTATTAAAATAAACAAAAAAGCACAGGAAAGAATAGAAATATGTATATGTCTACTTTTCTGACCATTCCTCCCTTGGTGATCACCTGTGACTACTCTCTTATGTCCCACTACTGCTGTTTACCTGTCCTCACCCACCACTACCTGGCTCTCTACCTCTCTTCTTTCCCTAAAATAAGAACCAATGAGAGCAATACTGTAACGTGTATTCTTCACGTTTGGCATCAGCAATACCTTGCTCTAGGAGCAGCCCAGAATGACTCTTGTTTAGGGGACCAGAACGCCCATAGCAATAGTCCCTCCAAGTGAGGTGAGTTCCAAGGCCATAGTGACATCATGAGCCCCAGGAAGCCTGCAGCCTAATGGT